CCTAATACACCCCACACTTATTCCATTCAATGGTACCCCTGACATACAACACCACCATATACAAACACCACTTTACAACAAATATCACCATACCAACAAAAACTATATAACAACAACCATCAACTACAACATCTCAACTACACAACAACCACCATCAACTACAACATCTCAACTCTAGGTAGGCTTAAGCACCCCATAAATAAACAACTAAGGGCCACAAATAATTATACCACAAAAATCCAAATTTAGGCCTCCAAATCACCAAAACAATTTCACAATTATATTATAATGGAGACCCAACTAATGTGGCACCAACAACCCCCCAAACATCAACTACAACAACTATAACCATAGTAATCATAAAAGAAAGCAAAAAAAAATTGAAATTACTATACTAATCCTAACTAGGGTTTAACTACAATTACAATATTAACAAATTACACTACTTACAAAATAAAGAAATAGAGAGAGAGAAGAAGAACTTACTTGAGTTGAAGAGAGGAGAAAAATGGAGGTGTGGGAGTGGAGGTTGGGGATGAAGGGTGTTGAAGAAGAAGAAGAAGAAGAAGAAGAAGAGAGAGGTTTGGTTTGTGAAGAGAGAGGGAAAGAAAGAGGGGAATGGGGGTTTGGGGCGGAAATATTGGGTATTTAGATGAGGGGGGGGTGGGGTGTTTTAGGGGGTTTTAAAAAATTAGGAGAAGAAAGAAAAGAAAAAATTTAAAATAACCCACTTACCTGGCCGCGTCTGGGCCTGCCGCGGTTCTGCCGCGATCGCGGTGGAACCGCGGCAGTGAAGTTCCGCGAGCCCTTTTGACCGCGGTTTCACCGCGGTCGCGGTGGAACCGCGGTCAAAGGGCCTTTCTGATTCTAACGCCCATTTTTTTTTTTTTTTTTTTTTTTTTTTTTAAGCTAGATTACAAAGGTTACAATTACAACAATGTCATGGGTTGCCTCCCACGTAGCGCCTGATTTAACGTCGCGGCACGACTCATGTGAGCGAAATTAAGGTTCGCTCGACCTCTGGGGTTCATTCAAATGCAGCTCGGTCATCTCCTTAGGCTCGTTCATGCCCACATACAATTTCAATCGCTGACCATTGACTCTAAATGTACGAGAGTCATCTTCAGTAGAAACTTCCACAGCTCCGGAAGGAAACACTTCAACCACGCGAAATGGTCCAGACCACCTTGACTTTAGCTTACCTGGGAATAACCGCAGTCTTGAGTTGTAAAGCAATACCCTGTCCCCAGGTTTGAAATTTCGTTCAATAATGTTCTGATCGTGAAGCCTTTTCATTCTCTCTTTATATAGCCTTGTGCTCTCAAAAGCAAGATACCGGAACTCCTCTAGCTCATGTAATGCCGTAACTCTTGACGTGCCCGCAGCTTCCAAGTCCAAATTCAGCTGTTTCAGTGCCCACCACGCTTTATGTTCTAGTTCTACAGGTAGGTGACAGGCCTTCCCAAACACCAACTTATATGGTGACATACCGATTGGTGTCTTGAATGCTGTCCTGTAGGCCCATAGCGCATCATCCAGCTTCCTTGACCAGTCAGTTCTTGTAGCATTTACAGTTTTTGTCAATACGCTCTTGATCTCTCTGTTGGAAACCTCAACCTGTCCACTGGTCTGTGGGTGGTACGGAGTAGCCACCTTGTGGCGCACATCATATTTAGCCAACAACTTCTCGAAGGCCCGGTTGCAGAAATGAGTTCCTCCATCGCTAATAATAGCACGTGGTGTCCCAAAGCGGGTGAATATGTTCTTCTTTAGAAACCCGACTACCACCTTAGCATCATGGTAGGTAATGCAGCAGCTTCCACCCACTTGGACACGTAATCTACAGCAACAAGAATGTATTTATTGCCATAGGAGCTAATGAAGGGACCCATGAAATCTATCCCCCAAACATCAAACACTTCCACTTCTTGAACTGGGTTCATGGGCATCTCGTGACGCCGGGAAATGTTCCCGGTGCGTTGACATTCATTGCAGCTCTTGACCCATAAGTGAGAATCCTTAAATACCGTTGGCCAGAAAAATCCGGCCTCTAGCACCTTAGCTGCCGTCCTGATGCCTCCAAAGTGACCGCCATACGCTGAAGCGTGACAAGCCTGCAAGACAGAAGATTGTTCGATCTCGGGTACGCATCTCCGGATCATGAACAAGTAGGGCTCATCCCAGTAATACCATTGGCTTTCGCGAAAGAATCTCTTCCTCTGGACCGATGACAGGTCGTGAGGAGCAATACCACTGGCCAGGTAATTAGCATAGTCTGCGTACCAAGGCGCTTCCTGATGAGTGGTAACGAGCAGCTGCTCATCTGGAAAGGTTTCCAGAATTTCCTCCACTTCTACTACATTTTCAGCTCCTTCAAGTCGTGATAGGTGATCAGCGACTTGATTTTCAGTGCCCTTGCGGTCAGAATTTGCTCGACAAGATGGCGCAGAATTCGGGTTGGACTTCTAGAAATGCACCTATCACTCCAGTGGTGCACTCAGTGCCTCTTGATCCTTCTAATACAATGGCTGAAAACATGGCGACTCTTTTGACGCAAATGAGCATCCTCACCAAAAAGGTGGAGGAATCAGGGTAGAAGCAACAGGTTCACATAGTAGACACTACCAACGGGGGCTTGTGCACATCTTGCATTAGCCAGCCAATTGGTAATCCATGGAATACAGAGCATGATCATCATCACCAGCACCCTGAAGATATGAACTATGTGGCTAACTATGGGGGTCAGAGGCAAGGTAATCAGAACTGGGGTCAGCAGACTCAGCAGCAGTACAGGCCACCGCAGCCACAGTATAACGCCGGAAACATGGAAGGCATGAGACCCCCCAACAACATGGCACCGTATCCTAGACCACAAGGGTACAACAATCAGTAGCAAGGGTACCACCCACCTCAGCAACATCAGGGTGGAAGACAGGAAGACGGGTTTGCAAGGCTTGAAGCAATGATGCAGCAGGTTATTGGGTCCAATGCTAAAATAAATGAAAGGGTGGATGCACATGATGCAGCTATCAAGAATATTGAGGTACAAGTGGGTCAGATTTCTATGTCACTTAACAATCGTCCTCAAAGGACATTACCTGCAGATACCCAAATCAACCCAAAAGATCAGGGCCCAAAGCAGCTGATGGCGGTGAGTCTACGGAATGGCAGAGATCTAGATGTTGAGCAAGAAAGAGCTCGAGAAAACATACAGGCTGAGACACTAATTCCAATGCCCATTGAGCTGGATGACTCTACGGGATTGACAGAGGTAACAATTCAGCCTGCTCCTGAAGAAAAGAATATGCAGCACGAGACTGAGACAGTAGTTGAGCCAGTAATTGAGACAGTAGCGGAACCAATAGTTGAGACAGTAGCTGAGAAGGAGAAATCCCAAGTGATTGGGAAGAAAAGACCTCCTGCACCGTTCCCGCAAAGGTTGGCCAAGCATCAAAAGGAGGAGCAGTACAAAAAGTTCCTAGAGATGCTCAAACAAATCCAGATAAACATTCCACTGATTGAAGCTCTAAAGGAGATGCCAGGATATGCTAAAATGATGAAGGACTTAATGTCTCGGAAGTTTTACTTTCAAGACTTGTCGACTGTGACCCTTACTCAGACATGTAGTGCAGTGGTATCTAGACCTGTTGCTGAAAAGCTATCTGATCCAGGTAGTTTTACAATTCCATGCACCATTGGGAACTATGCCTTTGCTAAGGCACTTTGTGATTTAGGGGCCAGCATTAATCTCATGCCCCTGGTCATTTATAAGAGGTTAGGCATTGGCAGGGCTCGACCTACTTCTATGTTATTGCAGCTGGCCGACAGGACTGTTAAGCGTCCATTTGGGATTCTTGATGATGTGCTTATTCAGGTGGGGAAATTCGTGTTCCCTGCAGATTTTGTAATCTTGGATTGCAAAGTGGATGAAGAAATTCCCATAATTCTAGGACGACCCTTCTTGGCCACGGGAAGAGCTTTGATTGATTGCGAGACCGGGGAGCTTAAGATGAGGCTCAATGATGAAGAAATTATATTCAATGTGCAGAAATCGATGAGGCGACCAAGTGAGTTTGCAAATTGTTCCCTTATTGATGCAGTAGATGTAATTGTAGAGGCTGATGATGAAGCGTTGACGGTCGAGGATCCCCTTGCTGCATGTTTGACAAATTTGGATGAAGTGAATGGTGAGGATTTGGCGGAATGGGTGTTGGCACTAGAAGGTAAAGGGTTCTGGGAGAGAAATCTGGAGTTTGAGCCCTTACACTTAGAAAAGAGAGAGACCCCTCCAGCTAAACCATCCATCGAGGAACCCCCTAAGCTAGAATTGAAGCCTTTGCCAACCCACCTCAGGTATGAATNGGTTCTGCCGCGGTCGCGGTAGAACCGCGGCCAAACACCCTCGCGGAATCACTGAGGTTCTGCAGCTGCTTCCCACCGCGGTTCTGCCGCGGTCGCGGTGGAACCGCGGTGGATCCAGTATTCTGAATCTTCGGCCTGTTTTGCACGGGTCACTTGGGAAATTTCACAGTTGGCCTCTTTTTCATCACTTTTAACTCCAGAACTGCTCCTTAGCCTTCCTTATACATATATCACCTACAAATCATGAAAAGCACTAATAAGAGCATTTTGTCATTACTTTTAGCATCAAAACTACACAAGAAGGTGATTATTTAAGGTGTGATTATAGTCACATTCACCTATTATCAATCACCTATATCACTGTCACATAAGCATAGTCAATGATTAAAGTGGTTTATTAGTACTCTATCCGTCAGGTTGGAGTGTTCAAATGAAAAAACTGTAAGTTTATGTATCGACTTTACAAACTGATTCAAGTTTAAGTGGCCGAGAAATCATTTCCCTTTGCTAAAACAAAGTACTAGCTAGGAGTGTATATATTAAAGTTTTAAATTCTTAAAAGCTAGTAGTCGCCAGTCGCTGTGTCAATCATATGAATTAATCCCATTAAACTAATCATTCATTTGTACAAACGATCGGATTGCCAACTATACACATCTATCTCTCTTTCACCACCCCAACTTCTCTCCCATTTCTTGAATCTCTATATCCAATATTATTCTTTAATTGATGTGGTTAATATCTCAGAAATGGCAATCGCAGCCGCCATTATTCTTCCTATTGGTCTTCTCTTCCTTTTATCCGGCCTCATTATCAACTTCATTCAGGTACCCCCATTTTTTATCCTTATTATTATGTAATAATCTTTTTTTATTTTGGATGTAATAAGTTTTTGGATTAGATCCCACGTCGCATTTTGCATTTTTCGGTTGTTTTATGCATGTTATGGCTTCAACATTCTTGATTTACTTAAAGAATTGTCCCTTTCATGTCCACATTGTTAATGGATTTTTTAATAATGGTGGTGTCCAGGGCAGCTTGCGCGTACCTCGACTATTCCACCGCATACCTGCGACCTCCCACCAGCACTGGTACAGGATAATTCTGCCCACCAAGGCTTAGACAAATGGGAAGAATCACCTAGTGATTTTTGTTCCCGCTGAGATTTGAATTTGAGACCTTATGGATATCATTGTTCAATGTTATGATTAGTTGCTCATTTTTGTCAAATATTAGTAGTTACTATCTGTATATATAACTATAATTTTTTCTTTGGTTATTTGACAACCTGTTTCTTAGAGTTTTACTTAAATTTATTTAAGTTTGCAAAGTGGCTTTGCAGCTTCCTATGCTATTTATGTAGTTTCCAGAAAATCAGTGAACCAACAAATGTAATTAACTAAATATATAGGCTTATACTTATGAAGAGAATCCTTGAGATCGCGGGCTATAGCATGTTAATGTAATTTGGGGACGATACATCTTCCATCCATTACAATCTTCAACTTGTTTTTATTTTCAGGCACTTCTCTTCATTCTAGTTCGACCCTGTTCGAAAAACATATACATAAGAATCAATAAAGAAGTTACAGAATTGTTATGGTTGGAACTCATATGGCTTTTCGACTGGTGGGCAAATGTTAAGGTGTTTGAAGACTTTTAGTACTAAATATGACTGTTTACTTATATGTATTTCTAACTATTTACATTTTGTGCTAGATGTCATAACTTGAGTTACTGATTTTCCTTTTTCCAAATAAGTTACTGGAATTGAGAATCACAATATTCTTGGTGATAACTTAATTGTGCTTCTACATAAATGTGATAACGTATTTTCCACATCTGAAATAACATATCCATAGGTATCGATTTAGCATTTTAAACTCCTGCTTTCTTTAAGAGCTCAAGAAAAATGTGATACAATCTTTTCCATTAGATAAAAAGGACTATATGATGGTCTGTTGTAGGAAGTAAAGAAGAAGTTCATCCCATTTCTCTAAGTACTATTCCGTGACTTTGACCATGCATGTGGCAGCAGGCGTTGTGCCTTTTTATTTATGCATCTGGAATACAAAATTAAGTTAGTTTTCTCGAAGAAGAATTTTTTGATTAGGTGAGAAAAAGAATGCGTTAGAAACATTCTATCATATTGATTTCTATTGTGTTTTAAGACTAACGATGTAGTATTTTGTGCTTCCTGCTAGGTTGAGTTATACACAGATCAAGAAACTTATGATTTGATGGGTAAGAAAACTCTGTCAGTTTTGTTACCTGAATTCTTTTGCGAGATAGGGTTGTCTATATCTTTCTTTTTGCTGTGTAAGTTTTATTGATTTTTGATAGTAACCGGTTTCAGGAAAAGAGGATGCACTAGTAATCTCCAACCATAGAAGTGACATTGACTGGCTTGTCGGATGGGTTATAGCTCAGGTGCTTGTCTACTTCAACTTAAAATTTCTCTTTCTTGAAGCATCGAAATTCTCTTTATTTCTAGAAGCATCCATTTCTTAACTTAAGAAAACCTTGACATGTCATTCTCTCTCTTTGCCTTCGAAAACTTTGAATCATCCCCATAGTTATTTGACTGAGAACTCAAGAAGGGACAGGTTGGCGGCTTAGTCACATTAACAGAGACCATAACTCAGAACCATTTTAAAAATAAAGATATTCTACTTTCTGTTGAGAAGCATAAATGTTTTTTTTTCATGGAAGGAGAAGAAACATGTGTGAGATAAATGATAATATGCCAAGGATTGCTTATAAGTAAACATCGTATCATTTTTTTTTATTTAAAAAACTCCATTCACCCAGGTTTTCACATCCCAGTTTGTCAAAACTTCAGAAAATGGTACCTGGCTTATCTCACTTGTCCACTCTAGAGTGTGAGTCATGTCAGCTCGGTAAGCATACCTGCTCCCATTTCCCGCGGCGTCTTGATAATCGAGCAGAGTCACCTTTTACTTTAGTCCATTCAGATGTTTGGGGTCCTAGTCGGGTCAGTTCTACCTTGGGATTCCGCTACTTTGTCAGTTTCATTGATGATTATTCCAGGTGCACTTGGATATTTTTGATGAAAAATCGATCTGAGTTGTTTTCTATTTTCCAGACCTTCCACGCTGAAATTCAAAATCAATTTGAGGTTTATATCCGCACATTTCGTAGTGATAATGCCCTAGAGTATTTGTCTTCCCCATTTCAGCAGTTTATGAACTCCCATGGGATTATTCATCAAACATCTTGTCCGTGCACATCCCAACAAAATGGGGTAGCTGAAAGAAAGAATAGACATCTTATTGAAACTGCTCGTACCCTAAGGATCTGGGCAGATTAAGTATTGAGGTCGCTCAGTCTAGCTCAGGTATTGTGATCTCATAACGGAAGTATTTTCTCGACATTCTGCTTCAAATCTCTGTATTTATCTGGTCGTTTATGACGATATTGTTATTACCGGCAATGATCAGGACGGTATTAGTAAGTTGAAACAACATCTCTTTCAGCACTTTCAGACTAAGGATCTGGGTAGATTAAAGTATTTTCTGGGTATTGAGGTCGCTCAGTCTAGCTCGGGTATTGTGATCTCACAACGGAAGTATGCCTTAGATATTCTTGAGGAAACAGGAATGACAGGTTGTAGACCTGTTGACACTCCGATGGATCCGAATTCTAAACTTCTGCCAGGACAGGGGGAGCCTCTTAGCGATCCTGCAGGATATAGGCGGTTGGTTGGTAAATTAAATTACCTCACAGTGACTAGACCTGACATTTCCTTTCCTGTGAGTGTTGTGAGTCAGTTTATGGATTCTCCCTGTGATAGTCACTGGGATGCAGTTGTCCGCATTCTTCGGTATATAAAATCAGCTCCAGGCAAAAGCTTATTGTTTGAGGATCGAGGCCATGAGCAGATCGTTGGATACTCAGATGTTGATTGGGCAGGATCACCTTCTGATAGACGTCCTACGTCTGGATATTGTGTCTTAGTAGGAGGAAATTTGGTGTCTTGGAAGAGCAAGAAACAGAATGTGGTTGTTCGGTCTAGTGCAGAAGCAAAATATCGAGCAATGGCTATGGCCACATGTGAGCTAATTTGGATAAAACAGTTGCTCAAGGAGTTGAAATTTGGTGAGATTAGTCAGATGGGACTTGTGTGTGATAATCAAGCTGCTCTTCATATTGCGTCAAATCCAGTATTCCATGAGAGAACTAAACACATCGAGATTGACTGTCACTTTGTTAGAGAAAAGATACTCTCGGGAGATATTGCTATAAAATTTGTGAAGTCGAATGATCAGTTTGCTGATATTTTCACCAAGTCCCTCACGAGTCCTCATATTAGTTATATATGTAACAAGCTCAATACATATGATTTATATGCACCAGCTTGAGGGGGAGTGTTAGTTTGATAGTTAAATAGTAGTAAATAACCCTAATCCCATATGTATTAGGAGTAGAACATGTATTATATATATAGGCCTCATTGTAACATTGTAATTATTTTAATCAGTAATATTTTCTCCCGTACATTCTCACAATTCCATCTTCGTAAGCTCAATATAAAGGTAAAGGAAATATTTACTTTTCAGGTTTTGGGATGGTCAATGTGGTTTTCTGGTTATATTAGTCTTGAGAGAAGCTGGGCCAAGGATGAAAACACCTTGAAGGTACTATTTTCGACCTTTATCAGTTTGGACTGTATCTTCTACTTTTGTTTGTTGCATTTATTTCTTCTTTCGGTCTTCCACTGCAGTCAGGCTTCCAACAGCTAAATGATTTCCACCAACCTTTTTGGTTGGCTGTTTCTGTAGAAGGAACTCGCTTTACGCACACAAAGCTTTTAGCAGCCCAAGAATATGCTACTTCTGCAGGATTACCTATCCCAAGTTATTTGATATTTGTACTTGTGAGAGGTAATAGGTACCGGTTGTTAGTTTCATTGTGTAAATAGTAGTAGATAACCCTAATCCCATATGTATTAGGAGTAAGACATGTATTGTGTATATATAGGGCTCAGTGTATCATTGTCTTAATTAATCAATAATATTTTCTTCTGTGCTTTCTCACATGGTATCAGAGCATCAGTGAGAAATTGTCGCTGTGCATCATTCCAGCGGCCTCCGGGAAGAAAGACCTCGTTACCGTACAATTTTCCGACGACTAAAGAGGCTGTCCGTAACAAAACATCACTTTTCGTCAGTGTTGTGCAAAAACCAACACCACCACGAAGTAGATCGGCCTCCGGCGACCAGCCCATTAAAATATCTCCGTCAGAAGACCCCCCACGCGCCGCCGGAAGAAATTTTCCGGCGAAGCTCCGATCCCACGCGCCGGCGCGTGGCCCCTTTTCCGCAAAACTTCTTCAGGACAGATTTCTCTACTCACAATTCCGAGCCTACCCATCTAGTTCAAATCAAATTCCGACCACTTTGAGTTTTTTTCCGGCGAGCTACAGTGATTTTTCCGGCGTGAACAGTGATCCCAGTAATTTTCTGTTTTTTCCGGCACGATATTATAATGGAATTCGTACCTGAAGCCTTTAACGCACAATCGGTTGGATTAAATGCAATGAATCCAACTCAGATGGTTTCTTTACCGGATTATATTGAGTTCCTTCAGTACAAAGCACGTAAACACACATCTTCAGGATTAACCTCCGTTGTTCCAACAAATAGTAGCATGACCGGTGTCTCCCAATCTTCACCTTCTGAGTCTTGGGTCATTGATTCAGGTGCATCTGATCATATTTCTGGTAACAAATCTCTTTTCACTAGTATCTCATATTCTGAATCTCTTCCAACAGTCACAATGGCCAATGGGTCTCAAGCCATGGCAACTGCAATAGGTCAAGCAAGTCCACTTCCTTCCTTACCTTTAGACTCAGTTCTTTATGTTCCTGGTAGTCCTTTTAATCTCATAGCCGTTAGTCGCTTAGCCAAATCACTTAAATCTGTTGTTCTATTTCTTGATGACCTTGTTTTTATACAGGAACGCAGTACAGGACGGATCATTGGTACCGGACGTGAATCAGATGGACTTTATTACCTTATCCTTGCAAAATCACATGGACTCGCATCTTATCTTCCTCCAATAACTTCTCTCGTTACTGATTCACCAGATTTATTACATAAACGGTTAGGACATCCCAGTTTGTCAAAACTTCAGAAAATGGTACCTGGCTTATCTCACTTGTCCACTCTAGAGTGTGAGTCGTGTCAGCTCGGTAAGCATACCCGCTCCCATTTCCCCCGTCGTCTTGACAATCGAGCAGAGTCACCTTTTACTTTAGTCCATTCAGATGTTTGGGGTCCTAGTCGGGTTAGCTCTACCTTAGGATTCCGCTACTTTGTCAGTTTCATTGATGATTATTCCAGGTGCACTTGGATATTTTTGATGAAAAATCGATCTGAGTTGTTTTCTATTTTCCAGACCTTCCATGCTGAAATTCAAAATCAATTTGGGGTTTCTATCCGCACATTTCGTAGTGATAATGCCCTAGAGTATTTGTCTTCCCCATTTCAGCAAATTATGAACTCCCATGGGATTATTCATCAAACATCTTGTCCGTACACATCCCAACAAAATGGGGTAGCTGAAAGAAAGAATAGACATCTTATTGAAACTGCTCGTACCCTACTACAGTTCTGTTTTTGGGGGATGCAGTTCTTACATCTTATCTTATTAATCGTATGCCATCTTCAGCTATCTAGAATCAAGTTCCATTCTCTGTCCTGTTTCCCCACTTACCTTTGTTCTCTCTTCCACCCCGTGTCTTTGGGAGTACGTGCTTTGTTCATGACCTTACTCCAGGAAAAGATAAGTTAGCTCCTCGTGCTCTTAAGTGCATATTTCTGGGTTACTCGAGAACGCAAAAGGGATATCGATGTTATTCTCCTGACCTTCATCGATTTCTTATGTCTGCTGATGTTACCTTCTTTGAAACCCAATCATACTTCACAGGTCCAGTTAATCACTTAGATATTTCTGAAGTGCTACCTGTTCCTTCTTTTGGGGATTCAGTCCCTATCTCCCATTCATCTTCCTCCATAGCTCCACCGCCTACAGTTCCAGTTCCAGCTCCACCACCTATAGCTCCAGTATCACCACCGAGTCCAGTGCCACCACCTAGTCCAGTTCCACCAACTCTAGCTCCAGTGCCACCACCTAGTCCAGTTCCACCAACTCTAGCTCCAGTGCCACCACCTAGTCGAGTTCAACCTTCTACAGCTCCACCACTCCTGACTTATCATCGTCGTCCGCCCCCAGCATCAGGCCCAGCTGATTCACGTCCTGCACCTGACCCTGCTAATACTGCGGACTTGTCTCCTCTTAATCAACCGATTGCACTACGAAAAGGTATACGGTCCACAGTTAATCCTAATCCTCATTATATCGGTTTAAGTTACCATCGTCTCTCATCATCCCATTGTGCATTTGTGTCATCTTTGTCCTCTGTTTCTATTCCTAAGTCTACAGGTGAAGCACTGTCTCATCCCGGATGGCGACAGGCTATGATTGACGAGATGTCTGCTTTACATACGAGTGGTACTTGGGAGCTTGTTCCTCTTCCTTCAGGTAAATCGACTGTTGGTTGTCGTTGGGTGTATGCAGTCAAAGTTGGTCCAGATGGCCAGGTTGATCGACTTTAGGCTCGTCTTGTTGCCAAAGGATATACTCAGATATTTGGACTCGATTACAGTGATACTTTCTCTCCCGTGGCTAAAATTGCATCAGTCCGCCTTTTTCTATCCATGGCTGTTGTTCGTCATTGGCCTCTCTATCAGTTGGACATTAAGAATGCTTTTCTTCACGGTGACCTTGAGGATGAGGTTTATATGGAGCAACCACCTGGTTTTGTTGCTCAGGGGGAGTCTAGTGGCCTTGTATGTCGGTTGCGCCGGTCCCTCTATGGTCTAAAGCAGTCTCCTCGAGCCTGGTTTGGTAAGTTCAGCACAGTTATTCAGGAGTTTGGCATGACTCGTAGTGAAGCTGATCACTCTGTATTTTATCGACATTCTGCTTCAAATCTCTGTATTTATCTGGTCGTTTATGTTGACGATATTGCTATTACCGGCAATGATCAGGATGGTATTAGTAAGTTGAAGCAACATCTCTTTCAGCACTTTCAGACTAAGGATCTGGGCAGATTAAAGTATTTTCTGGGTATTGAGGTCGCTCAGTCTAGCTCAGGTATTGTGATCTCACAACGGAAGTATGCCTTAGATATTCTTGAGGAGACAGGAATGACAGGTTGTAGACCTGTTGACACTCCGATGGATCCGAATTCTAAACTTCTGCCAGGACAGGGGGAGCCTCTTAGCGATCCTGCAAGATATAGGCGGTTGGTTGGTAAATTAAATTACCTCACAGTGACTAGACCTGACATTTCCTTTCCTGTGAGTGTTGTGAGTCAGTTTATGGATTCTCCATGTGATAGTCATTGGGATGCTGTTGTTCGCATTCTTCGGTATATAAAATCAGCTCCAGGCAAAGGCTTATTGTTTGAAGATCGAGGCCATGAGCAGATCGTTGGATACTCAGATGTTGATTGGGCAGGATCACCTTCTGATAGACGTTCTACGTCTGGATATTGTGTCTTAGTAGGAGGAAATTTGGTGTCTTGGAAGAGCAAGAAACAGAATGTGGTTGTTCGGTCTAGTGCAGAAGCAGAATATCGAGCAATGGCAATGGCCACGTGTGAGCTAATTTGGATCAAACAGTTGCTCAAAGAGCTAAAATTTGGTGAGATTAGTCAGATGGGACTTGTGTGTGATAATCAAGCTGCTCTTCATATTGCGTCAAATCCAGTGTTCCATGAGAGAACAAAACACATCGAGATTGACTGTCACTTTGTTAGAGAAAAGATACTCTCAGGAGATATTGCTACAAAATTTGTAAAGTCAAATGATCAGCTTGCTGATATTTTTACCAAGTCCCTCACTGGTCCTCGTATTAGTTATATATGTAACAAGCTCGGTACATATGATTTATATGCACCAGCTTGAGGGGGAATGTTAATTTCATTGTGTAAATAGTAGTAGATAACCCTAATCTCATATGTATTAGGAGTAGGACATGTATTAGGAATGGGAAGGAAAGAGATACAAAAAGAATAAAGAAATTACCAAAAGTTATGGTCGAGGAATGGTAAATAGGCTTTCATTCTTAAAAATTTCGAGTTTAAGCAATGCGAATTGAGTCGTCATTGATATGGAGCAACTATACCTCCAAACTGGAATTTTTTTTGTATGAATTTGAATTGATCCGGTCTCAAAGCGTGTATTGGACATTAGGTGGAAAAGTAAAAAAAATAAATAAAAAATTAAAAAAATGTAAATGAGAGAAGCTTTTCTTATCCTGTGCATCATTTCCTAGTCCTACTTCTTATCCTACACCCACCCCATCTCCCACTATACTTACCCATTTCGAGGGAAGAGGTTAATATAACCTCTTTCTCTTTCTTTAACAAGCATACAATTGTTAAATTTTTTTCTCTGCGTGCCAATGTACATTCTTGTCTTGATAATAATACTGATTTGGCAAATATTAGCATAGGGGTTCCTCTTTTAATTGACTTCTTGACATTTGCTTGATCTACCTGGTTTTGGGTATTGATCATTGTGATTATAGAACAAGAATTTGCAATTTATTGGCTGGGATTTTAATATTGATTCTTCTTCAGATCTGGGTGCCTGTAATGATGTATTCTTTTGATCATCCTTTTTCTTTTCAAATGGTATATTAATTATTCCTTCTTTAATTTTATCTTTAGTATATCTTACTTTTAGCCTCGAATTTTTGTGGCAGATTTACAGCTGAGAAAAGGATCTTACTTTATTGGCATTGGTGTGTAATTCATTAGATTAAAGTTGGGTTCTTGAGAGCTGGGCTTTTCAAGAATGGCTTAAGTTGT